TAGATGCGTAGAGCGTGAGTCGTTCCCGCTTCCATCCTTCAGCGGCAGAGAGCCCAAAGCATTCAAATCCGGGGAGAAAATCCCATTTGTCTTCCCCTTTTTGTTCTCTAGGTTTGTTTCACAGTTTACTGTTTTTCGTAAGTCGAGTATGGTAACCGCAGGGAAAAAGTCCTTTATTTTTGCAAATTATGTTAAACAGTGTGCTTACTCAAAAAAAAAAAAAGGTGAAAAGCTCGCAACCTCACCTTGAATCTTAGTCCTTCCGATGGCACGTGCTGTAGGACCCGCCTGCCCTGAGCTGTCAGGACCCGTCACACAGCTTCTGGCCGACAGCTTTGGAAGAGAAGCGCATTGCTTCTGTTTTGAAGTTTCGCTTAGGTGGAATGCTGGGTCTGCAGTCCGACGGTGCCGTCGTGGGCACTTGCCAAAGCAGTTTTTTTTTTTAACCGATGTCATCGTATTTGGAGTTTTATATCCACGTAGGTAGTCTTCCCACATGAACTAGTACAACTTTCTAAAACCAAAAATAAAAATAACTAGCCAGGGCGAGAAAGTCGGCACTGGATGTGTTGCAGCTACAGCCAGACAGCGGCCACCCCGTCCCGTGGCCTCCTTCGGTCCCTACCCCAGCACGCACAGCCGGTGACCCGGGCAGAGCGGACCCGCGTGGGGCGGCCGCGGCCTGTGTCTTCACTGCAGGACTCGGGGTTCCTCCTCAGTGCTGGTGTGAATGGTTGAGCATCCAATGCCAGCTTGTCCTGTCACCTCAAAATACAGAGAGAGATGGCACCGAGGAAGAGCTGAGAAGCGAGACAGAGGGATGATGATGTGACGTAGTACCCTAACGTGAGGAAGGGGAAAAGAGGTTTTCTAAACGGCGGGCACAGAACTCAGCAGAGTCTCTAATGGGGCGGGGCCTTGGGGACCGCCCCTTACCTCAGCCTTCTGCTTTATGTCTGAGGCCCATCTGTGAACAGTTTATGGAACGTCAGGCAACGCAGGTTATGAGCTCAGAGGTAGCGCCCCGTTCCCGCTGGCCCCGACATCCACGGAGAATCTGGGTAGCCTGGAAAGTGAGACCTCCCGAGACTGAAGCCTAACCGTTTAAGTACCAACACTTTTTAATTTTAACCCCTTTTATGAAGTTTTCTATAAAATGTCTCATTAACTTATTCTCAGTAGCTCAGGTTTTTTTCTTTTAAAAATATTTATTTTTTAAAATGTTTTACATGAATTTTTGTAAACATATTTTTTAAGATATTTCTCATTGAGAAACGACAGATAGTCTCCTCCATTCTTGATTAGCTTCTTATCCCAGGTGATTTGCGACTTTGGGATGTTCTCCTGAATTGCCGTGGAAAAATCCCTGGTATAGAAACTTATTTGATCGCTATATATATTCTTTTTCATGAACAGAGCGTGAATAGTAATCATATAGGTCCATAGTCCCTTGCATAAAACCCTTCTAAATTTAGATACTTTCGCACTTTAGAAAGAAACTCTAGCATGGGGTGTGCCCCACAAGGATGCCCAGAGATCCTTGCTCAAAACATTTGATCATTTCTTCAGCAAAACATGTGAGCGCCCCCACACTAAGTTGGACAAAAACCGGATGTAAATGGCCCGGTGTCAACTTAGGTGAGATTTTGCTGCCAAACGAGTTGTGATATCATAAAAAGAACTTGATTTTCAGAGGTTTTTAAATTTTGAAATTGTAAGTATGAAATTATAGACGCACAGGTAACAGTTATCGAAGATTTACTATATGCCAGGCACTGCACCAAGGGCTGTGTGCATTATCTGTGTGCATTATCTAACAAGATAATACAATACAAAAGCTATTGTATTACCTTACAATAGCTTTATAACTATATGCCAGGCACTGCACCAAGGGCTGTGTGCAATATCTTGTTAAGTCCTTACAATAGCTTTATCAGGTAAATCCTATGACTCCCGTTTACACAGGGGAAACGGATGCACAGAGGAGTTAAGCAACTAGCCCACGGTCACACAGCCGACGAAGCAGGAGAGCCAGGATACGCACCACGGCCAGCATTTACTAAGTGCTTGTTAGGTAGCAGGTCTTCCTCTAAGCACTCGACGTGTTTCTCTTGATCTGCGTGCAGGATTGAAGACTCTGACCCCCATTTCACTGGTGAGAGGCCACGGGGAGAACGCAGACTGTGCCTCGCGGTCAGGCCGATGGGTGGTACGATCCGAGGGCGCACGCGCTCAGCCGGGGTACCGTGTCGTCCGAGTTCCTAGCAAGGAAACAGCTGGCCATGAGATGCAGCGAAACCAGTCAGCACGTTAGAGGCCAGAGCATCTCACCTCTGCGGGTTTCCTCGGTCATCAGCTCCGATGTCACTCTGCTCGTGCTTCGATGTATTCAGTGCACGCTTTATAGTTTCTTTATACGGAATCACGTCCTGCAGGTACCTTCACATCTGCTCGCCGCTGCCCCGTCTCACTGCTTATTTGTTCATAGAGTGTGAATGAGCACTTGCCGTCGTTTCTAAAATGTGCCCTGGCGTGTCTGGGAGGAGTCAGTTTCGAAGTCTCCCCACTTCCTCCCCCCAACCCCCACCCCAAGGAAACCAGTTCTCTCCTAGCCATCCTCGACTTCACCTTGAGTAGAATGTAGGCACAACCGCCGTTAAAAATCCCACCCTTGATGTTAAAAGGAGACGTCGATGCCAGTTTTCTTGCGGATAAAAACCGTCCCATTCTCCGACTGGCTCCTCCGGCCACTGCGTTGAGACTAGGAAGCCATCCTCTGACACAGACATCACCGCAAGCATAGACCCCCCCATTCTCCAGCGGAAGAGGGACTTTGTTCATCTCGGGCGAGCGCCCGTGCTAAAGATGGCCTCGCCTGGGAGACAGCCAGAGGCCGTGGGACTCACCGGGGGGGACAGGCTTTGTTCAAAGATCCCGGATTATTGTCTCATTTGTTTAACCCAGAGTAGAGCTGACTGGTTTTACCAGCACTGAGATGGCCCAGCCAGTGCAGACACCCCAGAATTCCTCTGTAGCTGGCTCTGTTTTCAACAGCTTCCTAGCCTTCTGTATCCAAGACTTGTACGTGGTCCGTTTACTCATGAAAATGACTTTGGGAGGCCCGGGGCCACAGCTGGCGGAGGGGCGCTCCAGCGTTTCGCCTTCGTGACAGCGGTGTGGCCTGCTCTTCTGGATGTTTGCTGAGTTTGCGGCTTCGGCGGCTCGGGTGACTTCACCAAAGCAGTGCCTGAGCCCAGAGCCCAGTGGTGTCCTGTAATAAAGCCACCACGGTTAGAGCCCAGCCTGTGCTCTCCCATTGCACAGAGCCTCTAATGCCGAGGAGTCCCCCACCCGCATCCGCACTGAGGTATAAATGGCTTTGCCTTGGGGCGATGGGTCCCCCCGTCCCCTCGGTCCCCTCGGTCCCCTCTGCGCTCGCAGACCTGCCTTTCTTTGCCCTTCATCATCACCGTTCTTCTCTGCTTCTCATCTGGTTCACTGTGGCTTCTCAACTCCAGCGCTAAAAAAACAAACAACGCCCCCCCCACCCCCGACCCCGTCCCCAAACTCCAGCGCCATCACGACCTGTAAAGGTTCCCCCTGCCTCTCCTGCACACCATGGCCCTTTTCTCCACAGGCTTTCCACCCTCATGCTAGCTCATTGTCCCGCCTCCCGGCACACTGGGTGTACATGCGTCTTTGATTCTTAGATGCTGTCTCCGTCCTGACGGGCTTAAGAGCTGCTTGATGGCGGCAGGAGACATTTTCTTTTATTAATTCTCCTCCTTTTACTTCCAGATTTATTGCCATTCCGGTAGCCTGAGGTGTTCTGACCTCCGCATCAGTGACGCTGGGCTGATGACTGCTCGCGTGGCACTGATGCAGAGCTAGCCACAAAACGCCTGTGGTGGGGTGTCGATAGGGAGGTCTGGAAGTTTTACGTGGGGCTCTCTTTGAATCGAAGTGTGATCTAAAGATGGAGGTTATGGATTCTTGTATTGTCTGTCATACCGGCTCACCTGCACGATATGATTTTGGGGTTCACTACCCAGCTAAAATGAGCCCATCAGATGGCGGACGGCTCGAGGCCGAGGGAAATACGCAGGTTTTTGTTTGTGTGGGGTTTTCTTTTCCAAAAGGAAAGCTTTGTTATACCAGCAAAAATAAAACAAATATTATGGGAGGTAAGTATAACTCAGCATGTGAATTATCAGTTTAATGAGTCACATCCTCCCTCCTGGGTAACCTCGAATCATGAAGCTACTTAAATATACACTGCAGAGAAATTGCCCCAGAGGCTGGGTTTGCGTACAGCACCGCCTCTGGAGCAGAGACGGGAAGCCTGAAAGAGAACGTGGAAGAGGTTTTTAAAAGGTAGAAAAGGTGATTATTGTATTTTTATAAATCGTTTCAGACAATTTTTATTTCTAGAGTAGATCCCTGAGCTCCAGGATTCGAGATATAGCAGGATATATATACTTTTGTTATTGTATATATACTTTTGTTGTTGAGAGGGGCTTATTTTTACTCCTTGTTAATACAAAGCAAGCCACAATATATTTCACTCGAAATGCAGATTGTAGTCAAATCGGGCATTTCTTGTTTAAGAAGAAGATATTAAACGATTCAGTTCATTTGCATTGTGGTCCATACCCGTCACACATAGCAGTCGAAAAGTTATTCCCAGTGAGGAAGGGTGAAAGCGTTTGGATAAAGGTAGTCAATACCCGTCACCACATAGCAGTCGAAAAGTTATTCCCAGTGAGGAAGGGTGAAAGCGTTCGGATAATCTCCAGCCAGCCGGCCTCCAGAATTCCCAGGGCGTCGCTAGTCCCCTCGTACTCCGAGTTTACACTAGGTGGCACGCCAGGAAAGACGAACAAGTGTATGAACTTGGTGCTGTGGATGCAGAAGTCTTTGGCGGCAGCCACGCTCGTGGGTTCAGCGTTGGGAGTCAGCTGTTTGATCTGTGATTGTTTTCTCTCCCCCTCCCCCCCCAGGATGAAGTGTCCTCTTGCTGGCACAAATAAAAGATTTCTAATTAACACAATTAAGAACACACTGCCCTCCCATAAAGAGCAAGACCACGAACAAAAAGAAGGCAGCGAGGAGCCTCCGAAAAGCCAGACCCAGAAAGAAGAGAACCGGAAGCAGCACAGAGGCCACCCTTACAAGCACGGCTTCCCGGCCCGAGGCCCCGGCCGCCACTCACCCCCCAGGAAGCGGGGCGGCCACGACAAGTATGAAAAGCGGTCAAGCAGGCGATGAGGCAGGCCTGGGGGACGAGCCACAGGTGCTGTTCGCCCCGGACTGGTGCTGTGCAGGGGTTGCTGAGGACAGGCCTGGAGCTGGCAGAGCAAACATCTGGGAGCGATTCGTGACAAGCAGAAAACGACCTAGGAACTCTTCAGGGACATTATGAGTGCAAAGGGGCTTGCTCGGAAGAGTCTTGGCAAGTTAAGCTCCTCGGGCAGTGTAGCGTACATATGTGTCGTTTCTGTTCTATCTTGTTTAGAAGTTGGTTTCAAAATAAAACTAGAACGTAAAGGTTTTCAGAGACCGTTAAAACCGGTTCCAGTTTTTCTGATGTGTTGCAATGGTGGCCATGTCTCAAAAATTCTCAAAAAAAAATGAGCTACTCGTAAATCCCACGCTTTCCCTTTTTGGGTGACAAGTTTGGAATTTAGAAATCATCAGGCCAGGAGTCATATTTAAGGAAAGGGCTGGGAATCTACCAAGAAACGTTTGGATGCTCAGCTTTGTTTTCCTTAAGTGAACAATCTAGGAAATTCTCAAAGTGGCTTTGAATCTAGTGCTCCGTGTCAATAAGCGAAGGTTAAAAATTGGCTCTTGTTCCTCGTGCGTTCTCAAACTCATTCCCGAGATAGAACGATTTTTCTACATTTAATTTTTTTGAATATGTAAGTTTTAAGTGGTGCTTTTAAAAGAATCTCCAGAAGTTAAAATGAACATAATTATTTTACTGCTATGTCTTATTTAGCTAAAGACCTGTGATACCACTTTAGTGTATTTGTTTCAGAAATCTTCACTTTAAATAAAAAATGTGTTTACTATGCCTTTTTTTTTTTCCCCCCGATCTTGGCACGAATCTCTTTTAACGTACAATCACAAGCTTTGCAAACCTGTATTCTTCCTTTTATACTCAGGAAAATGTCACCAAGCACCCTCTTCCCCGGTCCACAAAAGGAAGAAGAATCTGTCACTCTGACCCCCTCCCCAGTTTTCCAAAGCGTAGCGCTTATGCCTGGCTGCTCCGGGATAATCACCCTGTCGCGGCCCTGCTCCCGGCTTCCTGGCAGCCAAGAAAAGCCCTTTCTGAAGCTAGCAAGGGACACATCCGCAAAGTTCGCTTTAGGGTCTTTACAGAGAAGCCAGAATAGACCGTCGCTCCCCGCACCAAGCCGCTCTGCCACACTCTCAGTCTGCTCTGAGCTCAAATCTCAGGGGTGACAAGCCCAGAGCCGCCCAAGACCCCTGGGTCTCATCCTGTCACTTTCCAACACAGAAGGGGTAACTCGGTTCAGAGGACTCTCTCGAGTTGTGTATGAGCTGTACGATTTGGGCTAAATTCGAAATATTTTATATTTAAATAGTTGTTAGAAACAGCGGTCGCGAAAGCTTCTTAAATTCTTGTTATAATTAAGTAAAACAAAGTCGAATTGGATCGTTTGTCGGTGCGCTCTCTGGAGCAAACCGGCAAGTTCCTCGTCTAAACGGAAATGATTTGAATGAGCATATTCTGACACGCTCAGAAATAAAGGAATCTCCAGCCTAATCAGACTTATCTTTCTTATGTATTTCTGTTAAAGGATAAGTGTTCTACAAAATCATCTTCCCTTTTAAAACCTCTGTTCCGTTTCGGAAAATTTTCTCAGAATCGTTAACACCTCCAGCAAGGGTAGCCGTGGCTTCCTGTATATAAACGTCAAGAGCAGATTATCCGTTCTTATTCTGTATCTATACAGTAAATGTTAGGAAGGGTTGTGTCCTAAGATGTCATGCACACCAGCCACGTCCTGCTTACTGGCCCGGCTGAGAGGTTTTTTTGAAACGTTACTATCTACTCTCCAATATAAGTATATTTAGAGACCACAAAGCCCAGGATAATAGAGGTTACAGAAGCCGAGTCTTAGTCCCGCGTCTGTATCTGGGGCCTCATCCGGGTCACCTGCCTGGACTGCATCTTTCTCCCCCATAACGAAGGTGTTTGGACCAGGTCTCTAATGTCGAAATGGGTCGAGACAAAAGTTCGAAATGTCCAGCGCTAAGTTTTAGGAACTGCATTTCTCGCTAGGAAACGAGACATGGACACAATTTCAACCTAGCCGTATCTGGTCACCTGGGAGTGGCCGGTCTTTCAGAACAGCGAATGCGCGATGGGCCGAGTCCTGACCGGCCTTTCCAGTCTGGTTCTGGAAGATGGCCACGGAGTTTTGAATTTCTGTTATTTTGGGGGGTGGGGGGCAGGGAACAGTAGACCTGCCTGCTCAAATCCAGGCAGCTTTTCATTCCTTTCATTGCTGATGGCTATGGCTCAGCGCGGCTTCCATTTTCACGATTAATAATAATATCTGCCCCTCCCGGAGGAGTATCCGGCCACGCCGGTTCAGC